GACCACCTTCGAATTTCCGCCAGACAGCTCGCCTCGTGCATTGCGCGGTGAGCACCGTGTCGCCCGCGGCGCCGCGCGCCTCTCGGAGCCGGTGAGGTAATCTCGATCAAATCGGCTCGAGTCGAAGAGCTGCCGCGAGGGCATCTGGTCGCCCCCATGACGAACGATTCCCGACGCTCTGTGACTCGAAGGGGACCGAAAATCGGGTCGGGGGAAGCTGCCGCGCCTCATTCCACCCCCTGAGGCTGCCCGTTTGCGTCGCCTCGCAATCGTCCGGATGTCGCGTCTTTTCATGTGCCTCACCCGCATGTTTGCGGACCTCAAAGCCACTGGGATCGTTTCACGTCGCTGCATATTCGAGGAGCGCGGGGCCCTCTAAGGTGGAGATTCCATCATCGGCCGCTGAAATACTCCTGCGGAGACACGGTCTCTAGCCCTCTAGAAGCTAGGATTTCTTCAAAGTTTGTCTTGGCTTGCAAAAGTTCAAGCGACGGGGTATCCACTGCAACTCGCAACCAGTGCTATGAAAAACTGCAACTTACACTATTCATTGAAGGTCGTCCAGCGGGCAGCTTCGAATCGATGTGCGAGTGCTCGAGCTGAGGAGCTCGAACGCAGCACGCAGCACACACAGCAGCAGACAAAACACACACAGCGGATACACCATGGCCGCCGCCGACGACGACGACGACAAATCTTCCCACTCGAAATCACCTCAAAGACCAAAGACGCCATCGTCGCCGCGCGAAATACCGTCGCCACTCGAAATACCGGCGTCGCCGCGCCCCTCCACCGCGGCCATGGACGCCTTCGGCGACTACGACTCCGTCGCCACCGCACGCGCGCTGCGCGTCATGCTCGCCTTCGAGGACTCGGGCGCGGCGCTCTCCGACGTCGTGCCCGACGGCGACGCGGGCTGCGACCGCGAGGCCCTCGCGCGCGCCCTCGAAGGCCACGAAAGCCTGCGCGAGCTCGGCGACAAGGAGCTGTCGGCGCTGCTCGGCGAGGCCGGGCGCTTCGTCGACGACGAGCGCCGCGTGACGCGCGCGTCGCTCGGCGCGTGGCTCACGAACGAGCGCGAGCGGCTCCGCGAGGAGCTCGCGGCGCGCCTCCACCTCGCCGAGGCGCCGGCCGCGGCGCCCGGCCCCGCGCCGGGCCTCGTGCCCGAGGGCGAGGCGCCGCCGCCGTCGCCGTCGGCGGTTTCGTCCGCGTCCGCGTTCAGCGACCTCCTCTTCGGCGGCCTGCGGTCGCGGGACCCGGCCGTGGCCCGGGCGGCGGCGGAGGTCGCGGCGCGGGACCGCGCGCGCGAGCGCGCGCGGGCCATCGCCTTCAAGCACCGCCAGGCCGCGCGCGAGAGCCGCATCTTCCAGCGTCCCGGGCCGCGACGATTTCGAGAGATTTGGGGCGGGAAAACAA